CGTGTCACCTAGCCTATTGAAGGCAGAGGCTTTTCCACGCGCTGGGGTCTGCCCGGGCCGAAGAGGGGAAGCAGGGTGGGAGTGAGACGACGCCGTGTCCTGGGGCACCACCCCCTCATCGTTGCCTATCTGGACGGCCAACGGTTGGTGTTGAGGAGGTGGAGTGACGTTCCCCCCGGTCCTTGGCAAGAGTGCGCTGAGGACGGTGGGGTTCTGAGCTAGGCTGGCGATGATGACCGACAGCGCGGCCTGGACCTGTGGATCCACGGACGGAGAGGCCGCGGCCATAGGCTGGGCCGGGGCGTGGTTCGTCTTCTTAACTCGTTTCTTGTCCAGGCCGAGGCGGGCATCAGGGACTCCGCCGTTGAGTTGGTTGCGGAGGTCCGTTGTGAGGTTGAAGGCCTCCTGGAAGAGGTCCCCTCCGCCGACCTGGTCGGCCGTGGCGTCCTCATCGTGCTCCCTGGGCTCTTGGTCCTCAGGGATGGCTTTGCTGACGACGTTGCGGTTTGACTTAGTTCTCCCCATGATCAGTGGTTAGTTGTGCTTGGTAGCGACGAAGGGTGCTAACTTGATTGTTCTAGCTCTCAACGAGGACACCAAATGATAGAGTATATCTCTAGAGAGAACTGAGAGCTAGAGAGAGAAGTGCAGTAATATGCTTCAATAGAATGAATTCGTAACCCCTATAACTACTCCCAAGGGGAGTATTTATAGAGAAAATTAGGGTTGGGCTCCCAAGCCTTGGGCTTGGGAGGCCCATTTACAACTGGACCGCTACTGGGCCGAATACAAAGCCACTAATGGGCTGCACAAATGAGTAAGTATAAAATCCGATTCTGTGAGGTCTTCGTGGCCGACGAGGGCGTGGCCGACAAGGGCACGGCCGACGAGGGCACGGCCGACGAGGGCACCCGGGTTCCTTGGACTCAGGACTATAATCCGAGTTGGCCCCTTTTCGGCCGACGGGGGCGTCCTGGCCGACGAGGGCGCCACTCTGTGCCTTGTGCTTTCTGTTCTTCCGAGTATGTGGGTCCGGGGGCTCAGACCCATATACTCCATCAGTAACCTTATCTTTTCCGCACCATAAAGCCTTGAAATTTCTTTCTTAACCGTTTTGCGACTATAACCTCTATATTGCGGATTTAAACAAGTTTGTGCATAATCACGAAAAGCAAGACTTTCAGAAAACAAATAAGGCAAATTTTCTTCAACAAGTAAGTTAGTCATATCAGTCAAATTTTGTGCATCATTGTATGAGAAATTATCAAAAGCTTGTTGGTTATTTGCAAACCTCGATATTTGAGTTTGCTTCCCCATTCCGCCGCCTAATTTTGCATACTCCACCGGGTGTTTGGACTTAAGATATCTTGTGGCGGATCCGTATCCGCCGGAAATCCTCAAGCTATAGTTTTTCTTGCACCAATTGCAAGTTGCGGTCCAATTCCCGGTGTTCGGGTCTGTAATACCCGAGATTAATATAAGAGGATTAATAGTACTACTCATACCAACAGAGGTGCATCTCCTTTTAAGGGAGCTCATCACCCAAGAACTCCAAAGTTAAGCGTGCTTGCACGGGAGTAGTCTTGGGATGGGTGACCCCCTGGGAAGTTTCTCAGGGCGCGCATGAGTGAGGACAAAGTGTGAGGTAAAGGCTCGTGGTGGTTTGTGGGTACAGTACTAGAGGTCAGAAGTAACTATCTCGGGTCCGTGTGGGGCCCGGGGTGTTACAAATGGTATCAGAGCAACTCTGCGACAATGTGCTGATCCGTTAGATATCGGACGGGCACTTAGCAGGGGAAAAGATTCTGGGATATGATTGATATTGGTTTATGGGCGCAGCGAGGACGTTGCGATCCTAAGTGGGGGTGATTGTAATACCCGAGATTAATATAAGAGGATTAATAGTACTACTCATACCAACAGAGGTGCATCTCCTTTTAAGGGAGCTCATCACCCAAGAACTCCAAAGTTAAGCGTGCTTGCACGAGAGTAGTCTTGGGATGGGTGACCCCCTGGGAAGTTTCTCAGGGCGCGCATGAGTGAGGACAAAGTGCGCGGTAAAGGCTCGTGGTGGTTTGTGAGGACAGTACTATTGGTCTAGAGTAGCTACCTCGGGTCCTGCGAGGCCGGGGTGTTACAGGGTCCTTCCACTTAGAAAAATTATTAGCCATTAGTTCAGATTTACCTTTTTTCGTACCGGTTTGGGATGAGGCAGGCTCATCGGCGTCATGGCTGCCGCCACCCTCCTCCTCGTCGTCGTGGCTCTCCGAATTACTTCCTCCACATCCCTCCTTTCGTAACCCGTATCAAAATCATCTCGACTTTGAGATGAAGAGCCAAAATGTGATTTACCTTTGCGGGATCTCTTCCTCGCAAGCTCTTTCATTCGGTTGCGCTCGAGGTTACCCATATCAACCGAATATCTAGGACGATCCATCTAAAAAATGTAACAAATATTAAATACCAACAAATATATTAATTAAAATATATTAATAAAAAATTGGAGTTATATCAAATTAGAATTTTAAAGTTTACTTTAATCAAATTAACTAGTGAATTAACTAGTTTTGTGTACAACCTATTTTTTTTACTAACAATGAAATTAATATACTTTAACTTTAACTATAATGAGAATTAACTAGTTTTTTAAACTAGAGTCAAATGTAGCAATTAATAAAAAATTGTAATAAAGTAATTAACTATTAATCTAACTATTAATTCGAGTTAGCAAATTAGTATTTTAAAGTTTACTTTAATCAAATTAACTAGTGAATTAATTAGTTTTGTGTACAACCTATTTTTTTTACTAACAATGAAATTGATACACTTTAACTTTAACTATAATGAGAATTACAACAAGTTTTTTGTACAACCTATTTTTTTTACTAACAATCAAATTATTATAGTTTAACTTTAACTATTATGAGAATTAACTAGTTTTTTTTTTCAAGTAACGTTAATACAAAATTAAACAAGTGTAAATAATAGAATGATTTCGTACCTCTTTCGACTTTCGGTCTTTCGGATGGGAGTAATAGAATGACTTCAAATTAATTAGATATAATTCCAACTATATTAATAGATATAATAAATGTATAAGTAATATATAATTAGATAACAAATATAAGTAATATAATATTATAATGTACGTATTTATAAATTATAAGTAGATAATTAATATAAAGTAGATATATAAATATAATATATTGGAGAATAAGAGAATTAGAGAGTAGAGAGTTAAGAATAGGATTTAGGAAGAATTGGAGAAGAGATATGAAAAAATGTTTTAGATTAGGAGTATTTATAGGTTTTTTTACCCCCCACCACCCCCCAAACCCCCCGGACCCCACCTGCAGCCCACCCAACGACTATATAGCTGTTTGGGTTGTCCCCAGCCCACCCCCCAATGCCTATTTTGGCCCAAAACAAAAAAAAATTAAAAAAAAATTGACCGTTAGACCCGGACTCGGGCCAGACCTGGCCGGGCCGGGTCAACTTTTTCCGGAACCGAGCTCGCCCCGCCCATCCCCACTGGTTCAGGTCTACATCCGGTCCCGGACCGCCAGACCGGGCCGGTCCCGGGCCTGCACAGTAGCGGGCCGGGCCGGGTCACAGGCCGGGTGGCCCGAACCGAATCCACCCCTAGGCCTAGGGATGGACTAAACCGGTCGGCCCGGCCCTGAACCGGCCCGGCCCGCCACTGTGCGGGCCCGGACCGGCCCGGTTACGGAATGGGCGGTGCGGGCTTTTACCCGGCCAGGGGGAGGCTAGCGGTTCGGGCACGGTTCACAAAAAGTAAGGCCCGGCCGGTTCGGGCCCGGTTCAGGCCAACGGCTATATTTTAAAAAAAAATCTTTTGGCTACCAAACACGCCCTTAGAGCCGTTGTGATTGAACCCAAACGGCTATATAGCCGTTGGGAGCCTTCCTGGGGTCTAGGGGTGGGTTAGGGGGGTGGGGGTGGGGGGGTAGGGGTACAAAAAAACTATAAATACTCCATTTTTTCTATACAATTTACTACACATCTTCTCCAAATATTACTACTCTCTAATCTCTATTCTCTACTAATTTATTATTTATATATCTACTTTATACTTAAGATGGAAAATCAAGATGCCGTTATACGGTATAATTTTGATAAGCAGAAGGACCCGAAGACCGGGATGTGGTACGCAACTTGTAAATGGTGCGGGAAAAAATGTAGCATGGGGGTTTCAGGCGGATACGGGATGGCAATGAAGCATATGAAGTCATGTGACAAAGCCAAAGGATCGGGAGGTGCGGGAAGTTCCGATTGATTACAATTTACAAAATGTTTCTCTTGAAGTTTGTTTTAATTTTCAAATGTAGTTCCTATTTCATTTCAAATAAATACACTTGAAGTTTGTTTTTAATACTTGTATAAAACTATAAACTATAAAATATATATTATAAAAAAAAATCTTTAACCGGCCCGGCCTGACCCGGCGGGTGGCCCGACCCATGACCCAGGCAGGTGGCCCAGCCCGAACCGGACCCGTCCAACCCTCGGGCCAGTCCCGGGCTCATGTCATAAAAACCAGCGGCCCGACCAGGCCTAGGCCCGGCCCGAGTCCACCCATGCCTAGGCCTGAATCCACGCCTAGTCACAAACAATGTAAATTAATAATATATACTTTTATCTCTCTCACATACTCATATAATCCATGACATATTTATTTATTTTCATTTTTATTTTATTTGTTGTAGTGTGCTTGCATTCTTTATGTAATATATGTTTGATCCCTCAAAGTATTATAACAATTTTAAATCAAATGATATTATGATAATTTTTTGGTAAAAAACGGCAAAAACCGAAACCGAATCGAAACAAACCAAACCAATTAAACCGTGGCTCCAAGTTTTGGAGTGTAGAACCGAACCGAAACCGAACCGAACTTTTTACTTTGATTCTATATTTGGTTTTAGGTCAAAACCGAACCGCAAGAACCGAACAGCAAGAACCGAACCCACCCCTAGTAGCAATAAGCCAATAACGCAAGGTCACTATAAACCAAAAATTGCGAGTGAACAAAACTCGAAAGGTAAACTACAAAAAAAAACTATAGTGAAGGGGGCGTTAGACTGTATATGAGTGCTGTCTTATTTCCAAAATACATCAAAGAATTGTTGAAAGATGGATTCACTTCATCATCATCACCTAACCTATTGAAATACAACCCAAAGTACCAAACTAATTGAAATTTGCACTGTAGCATTATTATTTTTAAAAATATCCTCCAAGATGGACCCCAAACGTTCATAGCGAAAAAAGTGGGATTGAAGGATCAATTGACAACATCAACAACCAGCTTCCTTGACTTGAGAACCGACCACCTCAAGCGCCGGTAATATGCTGCTTGAAGAAGTGCAAGTGATAGCACAAATATCCACTTGAACCCCATCTGCCCACGCAACAAAGGATTAGATAACATGTTTTTACAATATACATTGTGCACGCATACACGCCATCACGCCGACATACACACAGCATTATAAAGGAATAGCAATTGCAAAAAGGGGGTATATAGATGTTAACGATTCTATTATTTGTACACAAGATGCAAGAAAAATGGGAAGGAGCAGTAAAATACTGACATACCAGTTTTCTCTCTTCCATTTCTGGCTCAGCAGCCCATGACAAAAATGATACAACATCTTTTCCCATCTGCACATTCAGCATAGTATTAGATGCAAGTCTTGGAGAAAAAAGTAGATATGATATAATGCAATAAGCAGCAAAAAGATATTTACCTGTGCTTCTGTTGCAGGAGTACCATCTTCATATTCAACAGCACCATCGTTTAGCATTTTAGGCATAGCAATTGCACCACCAGGGAAGTAGGGGTTATAGTGAAGCCCTTCACGAATCTGCAGTAAGTGATTTGTCATAAAATATATGTGAACTTTAAACCCTTGTACAACATCAAAAACAAAAATTAAACCCTATACTCTAAAATCACCCAATCAACCCCACCAAGTTGTAAAAAACACTCAAAACGGCATTTTAAACAGTCACATTCTGGTTTTCTATTTGTGAGCTTAAGATGTTTTTACTTGGACTGTAATTTGTTGGTCTGGTCTGATCTGTTTATGAGTGATATTGTTTGGTTTGTTTAAGTATGGTCTGTTTAAGTCTAGTCTGGTCTGTTTAAGTCTAGTCTGGTCTATGACTGAAAACAGTCCAAGTAAAAACATCCTTACCTGGTTTGCAAGTGGGGCATTATATTTAATTATTTTCAGATTTTCTTTTCAAATCAACCTCATCTTTTGAGCTTCTCCTTTGCCCAGATGGTGAGTGGATTGATGGTCGGGAAATCTAAGTGATATGTAACAGAAAAATAGAAATCAAAGGGGTGAACCGTTGCCCAGATAATCAACGATAAAAATACCGTTGCCCAAAGCCAAAAGGCTAAACTCTAACTTTATTCCAAGATAATAAGAATGAACCCTGGCGAGGGGTATAAATAGCCTTCTACAAGAAATCCTAATCAAGCCTATATTAATTAAACCCTAATTAAGCCCAAATTAACTCAACTAACTACTCTACTAATAATAGGCCCAAACTAAAACATAACATTAACTTAATAATAATAATTAAACTATAACGACAGCCCTAACTCGGCCCACGGAAGTGGGCCCAAGCCCGGTCCCGCCCCATGCTCTTCCCGCTCTCTATCAATCCATCCTCCTTCAAAATAACCTTGTCCTCAAGGTTGAAAGCTGACAGATGGGGAGCTGAAATTCCCAGACATAGAATAGACTGGAAAATATCCTTTCTCTCTTTCCTGAACTCTTTCCTGGCCGGTTATTTCACAGTACTCATGCTGTTGGAGGTCTAACTCTTCCTCCTCCTCGGCTATCATTACCCGCAGCTGCTTAAAGGGACAGTCGTGTCCCGGTGTAAATGGTTTCTTACACCTAAAGCATAATCCTTTCGCCCTCAATTCTGCGAACTCCTTTGGCGGAAGACGAGTGAACTGAGAGCGTGTCGTAGGCTGCCCGGACAGCCCTGACTTCTTCCCCGAAGGCTGTCCACTATCCTTCGCAAAGCTGCCCCTTGATCCCTGCAAGCTGCCACCACTGGCAGTCATAGGAGGACCCGTGTTTGCCATTAAAAAACTGCTGGAACGTACCCCTGCAGAATTATAATTCGGGCTGCCACTTCCTTCACTTTGGACGGACAGATTATGCTCCACATCGTGAACTAATTCCATGGCTGTCTCTAGGTTTTCTGGCCGTAATAAGCGCAGCGAACTTCGGATTGCTTCCCCAAGTCCACTCATGTAGTAGCCCAAATAATGATCGTCGGTCAATCCCGGAACTTGGCTAGCCAATTGAACGAACAAGGTATTGTATTCCTCCACCGACCCAATTTGTTTGACGCCGGACAGCCGTTCAAACCTGTTTCCCTGATATCGGGAATCAAATCTGGCCACCAAAGCTTGCTTAAATTCCTCCCAAAATATGTCAGGTTTGCGCGCCTTTAACCACGTCACCCAATAGAGGGCAGCCCCTTCCATAGAAACCCTAGCCGCTGCAACTTGTCTGTCTGGTGGGGTCCTGTTGAGCTCGAACTGCTGCTCCACTCTCGCCAACCACCCAATTGGGTCTTCGCCATCGAACGAGGGAAGTAGCGTTGTGGCTGCGGTGCGCAGTCCGCCATCATCGGAGAAAACAGATGCGACGTGGCCGGAGGAATCGCTCTCGACGGTCGTGATGGGAGATTTCTGCGGCGGCACCATGGCCTTCGCGATTGCTGCAAGAGAGGCTGCGATTTCCGCAAGCTGGGCGGCCTGCTCTTCCAGTTTCTGACCTTGTGTGTCAAGTTTCTGTCCCTGCAGATCAAGTTTCTGTCCTTGCGTGTCAAGTTTTTGATTGATTAGGGCCTGTTCAGCCTCCAATTCTGATAAACGTTTGTTGGTTGATATCGTCATTCCGGCGGGACGGGATCCGGCAGGTCGGACCAATTGATATGTAACAGAAAAATAGAAATCAAAGGGGTGAACCGTTGCCCAGATAATCAACGATAAAAATACCGTTGCCCAAAGCCAAAAGGCTAAACTCTAACTTTATTCCAAGATAATAAGAATGAACCCTGGCGAGGAGTATAAATAGCCTTCTACAAGGAATCCTAATCAAGCCTATATTAATTAAACCCTAATTAAGCCCAAATTAACTCAACTAACTACTCTACTAATAATAGGCCCAAACTAAAACATAACATTAACTTAATAATAATAATTAAACTATAACGACAGCCCTAACTCGGCCCACGGAAGTGGGCCCAAGCCCGGTCCCGCCCCATGCTCTTCCCGCTCTCTATCACTAAGCTTCACCTTTATTCAATTGTGCATCTTTTTCTTCAATCGAATTGGATGGCGGATGGACATGGCACAAAGCCTCTTTTATTTGTTCACCTCTTTCAATCGTTTTCTTTTCTTTTCTTAGGTATACCTTTGTCATTCGTCTTCAAGTCGTTCGTGCTATGTCCTTCTTGTTCATCTTTGAATACAACTGACGCCGGGAGCAAGGCAATGACAACGGCGAGACTGGAGACGGCACAACAGAGGTGAGGAGGTCAAGCTTCTCTTCTTTTATCGTTTTACCTCTAATTGCTTCCGTCTTCAACTCAGTTTGCATGCGCCACAGCTGAAACGGATGGACACCAATAGCCAGCGAAGAAGTTTTCACCATTTGGGCTTTGTGTCCTTTATAAACACTAAATGGTAGCAATTTGTTTTCAGGTTTCTGTGGATTGTAAGAATTGGAGGAGTGTTCCAATTGTAAAGGAACCACACTATCTTGTGGACAGGGCATCGTGTAGACAAAGGTGCCTCCCCAAGAATCCAAGATGTTGAATTGCCTCATGCAAGTATTCTGGTTTTATCAACTAACGGCTCGAAAGTATAGTCGACCCATTGATATTTAATCTATATGAAGAAACTTTACTGCTATTCTTATGTTGATGCCACATGGGCGGCAACATAAGTATTTAACAGGTTAACTGGTTGGTAACTTGTTAAAACGCAATTTTGGATGGCTTTTTAAAGTTTGAGGGGTTGATTGGATGACTCAATAGTATGAGGGCTTAGTTTCTGTTCTTGCTATAGTATGAGGGCCTATTTGACAGTTTTCTTTTCCGTTTCAATAAAATTTTATGGGGTTATGTCTAAAATATCACTAAAAAATAGTTATGGACACAAAAGAGACTATTTTTAGTTCCAAAAATGAGACTAAAAATACAAAAGGGACCATTAGACCCTTACTAAGCTTAAGCCCAACATACAGTACCTGCTACAGTAACCAAAACTGTAGTGACCAATGTCAACTATCTTATCTTATTATATACAAAGTAGCGTGGAAATGATGCAGAGTTTTCCTTTCATTATGTTGTACCATTACGTGGTTAGTACTTCGTCAAAGAGAAGCGAGTAATGTGAAAGATCTATTCACGTACATGCTAGGCGGAGGTAGTAACTAGTAAGTAGTAACAGACATGGGGCCACCAAAATGAAAATTCCATTTTTTTAAGTAATATAACTTTTTTATTGGGAAAACTACCAAAAAAAAGCCCTCGAACTTTCATTAAAAAGTGCAAATAAGCCCTTTTATAGGAGGTTCTATCCGGCCGTCGCCATTTGGGGCGGTTTCTGGTGAATTTTTTTGATGAAATTTCTTGAGCATCTTCTTCATTACGTCTAGTTTACTCATACCAAATTTTAGCTAAAAATTCAATCGGGAAGGCAGTCAAATAAATTTTTGAAGATAACTGTGCAGTTAGACAGCGCAGTATATTTCAGAAAATCATTTGACTGCCTTCTCGATTGAATTTTTAACTGAAATTTGGTATGGTTAAACTAGACTTAATGAAGAAGATGCTAAAAAAAAATCATCAAAAAATTCCACCAGAAACCGCCCCAAATGGCGACAGCCGGACAAGGCCTCCTGTAAAAGGGCTTATTTGCACTTTTTATGAAAGTTCGAGGGTTATTTGATAGTTCTCCCCTTTTTTATTTATTCACCAATTTTTCTAAAAAACATATCAAATTTCATAATTTTTTATTATCTTTCATTTGACACCAATATTGCATATATAATATTAAAAATATAAATTTCAGCTTTTACAAAATTGTGGTCCCAAGTGTCATAACTTTTTATAATCTTATATATGACACTAATATTGTATATAAAAAATTATAAAATTTCAACGACCGGAGATTTTTGATCTAATATATTTTTCTCAAATAGATTCAAGTACAAAAAAGAACATCTCATAATTAAAATATGTTATCTAAATCTTTCGGTTATTTAAAAAATAGGATTAAAGTAATACAAAATAAATTAAACTTCAAATTTATTTATTTTTACATCAGAATGTTTGTAAATTTAAATCATAATTATTCACAAAAAGAATAATTATTTTTTGGGAAAGTTCCCGAAATAGGACTAAAATAGTTTGAAAATTCCAAAATAGGACTGCCATGCTTTTATTGCCAAAATAGGACTAATTACTGTCAGGTTTTGGCAGTACCAGACTTCAAACATGACAGTATTTTCTAAACATGACCGTAATTAGTCCTATTTTGGGAATAAAAAACATAACAGTCCTATTTTGAGAATAAAAAACATAACAGTCTTATTTTGGGAATAAAAAACATAGCAGTCCTATTTTAGAATTTTGAAACTGTTTTAATCCTATTTTGGGTAATATCTCTTATTTTTTAATAGGTGTTGTTGTTGCGTGTGTTTTATGTGAAATTGGTTTTGTATGAAAGTTGTATTTGACTTTAAATTTTTTTAAATAAGCTGTATTTTTTAATGAAAAAATAAGACTTTGTATAATATAAGCAGGAAATTTGTTCAATGTT